ACCAGCACCCACAGGACCACCTCCTCCAACTTCTCACTCCCACCGCCTCTGCACCATCCAGATGCTCACCTCCCCGTCATCCAGCTGCACAGCGGGATACCCACGCACCTTTGGGTGCTGGAGCGGTCTCATCCACGGGAGTCACTTATTCAGGCCGGGAAGAGCAGCTACGTGTCCCTGGGCTGAGAATTCTCTGTGCGGAGGGTGGCTGGGGACCGGGACACGCTCCGACACGCATTGCCACCACTTAGGGAAGCATCCGGCTTTTCATCGGAGCCCTGAGCATCCTTCGGACTGGCGGGTGCACCGAGTTGCCCGGCGTTGGGTTCTCAGCCCGTGGGGAAGACATCGGGTGGCAACATCTCCTCGTCCTCCGTGGCAGGAGCCACTCCACCGTGGGCATGGCCGTCATCGCCACCTCGTAGTCCTGCCCCATGCGCCTGCGGAGGGGAGAGGAGCGTCACTGGTACCCGAAGGCCTTTCCCTGGTTTTCAGGAATGCGCAGAGACTGAGGACAACTCATCACTGGGGTGGAAAAACCTCGTGGGACTTGGCACACTTACATTTTCCTCCTCCTCCAGCAGCAGCAGACCACGATGCCGGCGACCGCCAGCACGGAGAGCCCTGCGGGAGAGACACGGTGGCCGATGAGCATCTTCCAACACGTGGCCCGGCGCAAGCAGAACGACCCCGCAAAGAGCTGAAAAGGCTTTGTGCGTGTTCACGAGGTGCCCTCCGCACCCTGGGGAGAAACTGGGGTGCTGCATCTTTTTTCCCCCCTCGGAGGCATTGCCCCTGACCATGGCATAAACCTCCCACAGACCCAAAGAGGGCTTTTAAGCTCAAAAAAATGAAGAATAAAGGCCCTGTTTGCCCAAAATAAGCTTTTTGCCCGGCTTACCAATGGAAGGGGCCAAGGTCTGGATGGAAACTGGAAAAGAAGAGAGAAGAGATTTTCAGCTGCAAAGCCAGGAACAGGGGGGAATCAGGGGAGGACCCTCCCTAAAAGGGGGTCAGGGAGAAAGGAAAAATGCATTGAAAAGAGTAAAAGAGCCTTTGCTGGTGGAAACGCAGCCCTGGAGAGGCAGCCTGACCTGTGGCGTGGTCCCCCGGGGCAGGGGACAGCGGGGTTGTCCCCTCTCCCGGTGTGGATGTCGGCAGTGATGGGGACATCCCTGGCAGCGTGGATGTCTCCGGCGACGGCTTATCAGGTGCTGGTGGCACGGGTGACCGGCTGGCAGCTCCCGGCAGCCTGGGAGTTGCTGCTGGAGAGGGGCTGGAGATCAGGCTGGTTTCTGTTGGGGAAAATGGTGTAAAAGCTTTTAATTTCAGAAATTAAAAGGCACGCTCCAGGCAGCGCCTTTATTTCAGCGCTCAGCTTCGTGCCCGCTCTGGGCAGGTTGCGGCGAGGACAACACATCAGCAGCTCTAAAATGGTATGATTTCACACAATTGAATGAATTCCATCACGTCACTGATGGAACGTGACATTCACACCACGGTGGTCGTGGGTTGGCTGGGACCACAGTCGCAGCAGCCCCAAACCAACCCCCGTGGGATGCGTTTGCCCCTTCCTCACCCCTCTGAGTCGTCCTCTCGGTGCGCAGCGCGGTCGGGAGCTCAGGGCTGGGCGTTAGCGGAGGTAGCGCCGGATCCCCTTCGGGAACACACAAACAGAAACGCCATCAACAGCAGCGCCCATGCCACCCCGCATCCTCCTCAGCCAGGCCGGTGACGGATGCATCCCCCCCTCCCCTTCCCTCTCGCGTCCCAGTTGCCGAGCGAGGCCTTACGGATGCACCGCAGCGTGGTCTGGGTCCAGTCGGGCTCGCTGGTCGCGGCGGATTTTCTGGATGAGGCTGGAGGTGCCGGCTTTGCGCTTGTAGCCCGGGTTGCAGGTGTAGCGCAGGCGGGTGTTGACCAGCGTGGTGTTGCCCGCGTCGATGTGCGCGTTGGCCACGTCCTTGGGGCGGCTGCATCGCGCTGGAGGGATGGGAAAAAAAAAAAGATGGAGATCACAGCAGGGAGATTACGCACCCTCTGGCCCCACCCCGGTGCCGAACGGCACCCAAGGGGGTGAAATCCTGCCTTGGGGGGGTGATACGGGGAATCGGTGCTGCCCTGGGGCTGGGAGAGCCCCAGTGCTGAGATGGCTGTGGCTGCGCACGGGGGCTGGAGAAGGGGAAAGCTCCGTTTCCTCCACGTTGGCGGTCACTTGCAGCAGCTCCTCTGGTCAGCAAAGACTTGCTGCACGATTTCATCCCCCTGCAGCAACCAGCCCGGCCCAGCAGCCCCGGCTGCATCCCGCCACCAGCTGCTGCCTTTTGGCTGCACTCGCAACCCTGTTTTTTTCTCTGCTCATTTTCCAGCTGGACATGAAGAATTCCAGAGAGTGCATGAGCCCCTTCAGCCACTTCCTGGATTTTTTTTGCCCATTGGAGGCTGCAGCCCACAGTTCTTGGAGACAGCTGAAGTCTGAGCATTGTTTGGCCCGGCAGCAGGGAGGTGATGGGCTGTGAGACACGGCTTTTCTTATCCCTGGAAAGGTTCGTGCTTCCCTTTTAGCCTTGATTTGAGGTCGGTCTCACAAGAGGACGTTGTGATTTCACTTCTTTTTCTGGTGTGACGGAGAAAGTTTCTTGGTTGCCAGAGACTGTGCCCACACCTGGACCCCTGCCGGAGGGTGACAATGGGTCACCCACGACCCTGGCCGCTGCCAGCTGCTGTGCCCCAGGTGAGCTGCGGCGGAGAGGTGACGCTCCAGCGCCGGGGTGGAGGGATGCACAGCGGGGATGAAGGAATAGCACAGCCAGGTTGGAGCAATGCACAGCCAGGATGTGATGCACAGATGGGATGCAGGCCCTGGCACTGCTCCAGGCGTGGGATGAGGGGCTGGAAAGGTGCCC